TTTATGACCGTGTTTCCTGCGGCTGTGCATGTCCCCAGCCCTGCCTTCCGGATCCTCAGGCCCTGCAAAAAACAAAAACAAAAACAAAACCACTTCACGGGCTTGGGCTTGGAGGAAGTCCAAATCTCACTGGGCTTTGGGAGCCCTTTTGGATCCTTCAGGGGACTCCTGTCACCTGGCGTGGTTACTGTCCGTTCCACCTGTATCTGTGCCTCAGGAGGCCGTGTTCTCTGGGCTTAGTCGCCTGCCCTCAACTCTCAGCTCCACATTTGACTTGCAGCAGTGTTTTTTCCTCCGTGCCTCAGTTTTCTCACCTGTAAAATGAGGCTGTAGTCAGGACTAAAGGGAATAAGGTCTTCCTGCCTACAACGAACACGTGCTGAGTATCAGTTATCACTGTTGCTGAGGATACAGTCATGGACTTAAAACGTTGACACGTGGGGACAGTTCCTCAAAGTATTGGACCTGGACCAGCACGGCTGGCAGCACCTGGGAGCTTGCTGGAGATGTAGGATCCTGGGCCCCAACGCACAGCCCTGGCTTCAGGATCTGCATTTTAACAATCCTCCCAGGGGACTCCTATCGGAGAGTTCTAGATTATTGTCTGCCGCTGCCGCTGCCTGCCGGGTGGCAATGAGGGAGGTGGCGGGGGAGGGCCGTGAGCTGGGTTTTAATTCTAACCTGCGTTTGCTGCCGTCGCCACATAGGGAGTAGTAAACCCTCGGTTTCGTGGGAAACTGAGGCCTGCGAGGTTTGGGCTTGCCAGAAGCCACCAGCCAGGACAAGTCTGAGCGTTGACTCTGGCCCCTGCTTCCCCTGCCCCTGCCCCACATGCACAGCAGCCACTGTGGGAGAGAGTGCCCAGGAGGCTGCTGAGCAGGTGGGTTTTGGGGATCATTCAAAAGAGGAAAATCTGCCAACCCAACAGAGGAGGCTGGGCTGGTTTCGGTTAACAAGAGGTGGGCACTGGCCCGGCCAAGTGTGCCTCTGAAGCAGGCGGCACCAGGGGCTCATTCACAGGGCCGCGGCCAGCCCTGCTGCTGCGTAAGGTTTAAACATTAAACTATAGGGTGGCCTTATTTAAAAGCAGACCATTTTATAAGGCACACGGTGCCGTCTAGACTTGGGAACATTTATGGAAGTGGCCGCGCCGGTCGGGCTCCAACACCTGCCTCCCTGCCGCAGCCTTGCTGTGTGTGGGAACGAGGTGGATGGTTTTGGGGTGGGGCGGGATTTCAGACATTTGGTAATCTCTTCCTGCTGAGCCCTTTCCTTACTTCCGTTTTTCTTTGTTGATGTGAGAGTGGGAAAACTGGAGTGGGGTTTCCTCCACTGGGCGGGCGTCTGCACCTTTCTGTGGCAGCCCGTGGCCATTTGTGCTTATTGCACAAAAGTCCCCTGGCCTCTCCCCCGACTCCCACCTGGAGGGCTGGGGCAGAAGCACACTGCTCTCTCCATGTAGGGTTTGTCTGGCCCAAGGCAGGTGCTCACAGGGAGCAAGTGGTGCCCCGTCCCTGACTGTCGAGGCTGAGTGGGTGTCTTGGGACAGTCTTTTGATTCTGAGCAGCGACCCTTTGTTTCCCCATTTACCTGAAGGGGCAGCAGTCAGAAGGAGATGGGGGGAGATGGACCTGGGGCTGCTCTCCCTCCAGCCTGGCCTGGGCCTCATGGGTCATGGTGCCAGTCGTGGTCCAGCTGTTCAGAGCTTCCTGCCATTTCCAAGGAGGGTGCTGTTTAAAGACGGAGGACTGAGATTGGCTTGTCCTTTATGAACTTGGGGAATGAATGTGGTCTCTGTGCCTAAGACTTCCACTTGCTGTCCCTTGAGGAATGAAGAGGAGGAAAGGAAGAAAGGAAGGGACACTCCCCCCCCTAGGTCAAAAAATGATCCCTGGCCCAGGCTTGTTCTTAAGCACCTGGCCTGCAGTCCCAACAGGGATCCGTGAGGCAGGCATTGTTGATGTTTACTTGATGAATGAGGAAAACTGGTGCACAGAGAGGTTGTATAACCTGCCCAAAGGTCCTCAGCTAGAGAATGGTTTTAGTTAGCCAGCACTCAGAGCCATAGTCCTAGCCATTAGGCTATACTGCCTCTCAGTGTGCTGGCTCAGTTTATCCTTCGGTTCTGTGAAGCAGGAGCTACATTTACAGATCGCCTTCCAACCCTCTGAACCTGTCTGAACCTTTCTTAGCTCTCAGGTTCCGCAGAAACAGGCTCAATATGCTGCAAACACACAGAGAAGAAAGATAATTTTAACTGGTGTTAAATGCTCTAAAGAAGATAGAATGGGAAGGATGCAGAGAGAGGGCTGTGGGGTGAGAGGGGTCAGGAGGGGCCCTGGGGAGGTGGCAGGAGGATGAACCTTGAATGACAAAGGATGCAAAGATCTCAGTGTTTGCAAGGCCTGTCACATGTCAGGTGCTTTATGGAGGCTGGCTGTTAGGATTTGTCACTGTGTCCTTGGTTTGCCACTACTGGCTGGCTGACCTCAGGTGGGTCATGCGTGGCTCTTGGGAGTGAACCGAGTCTTTTCCCTCCAGCCTTGGCCGTGGCAGGGTTCTAAGTGGCTTTCTAGCATTGGTCTCTTCCTAGGCTACAACTACCCCTCTGATAGGGGAGCAGAATGAGCCCTCTGACGTTTTCATTGTAGGGAGAGGGCACCTTTTGTGGAGGGATGGCCGCTGTGGTTATTAACATTTATGGAGCCCTTTTAGTTACTGCAGTGCTGTGTGGGATTTGATTAGAATGTGGGCACTTTCCTTTTCATACCCAGCTAGAAGCATCTCCCGGGTAATTGCACCGTGAGACCATCACCCCTCGCTCTCCACTGTCAGTGGGGAATTGACAGTGGGCTCATTTTCTTACCGCTAGAATGTTGCTACCCTCCCCTGACCCTGGATGGTGAAAGAATTTATTCTTATTGTAATTTGACAATAGGGCCTCCTGGAGGCCAAGTTCAGCTTGCTGCATAATCAAAGGGGTGGTTTCTACCCTTGGCCCATCTTTAGTTTATGGAGGAATGTCGGAGTTGGTCCAGCAGCCACCCACATCCTCCCCAGCCTGTGTGTGTTCACTGTCTGCTTCCTCCAAGAGCAAACTCCCAGGATGCAGGCCTCACTCAGACAAAATAAAGCCTTCCAGTCATGTCTTCACGTTTGACGTCAGCAGAGGAGGCTTTTCTTGCTGCATGCTGAATGGGGCTCTGGTGAGGGCCTGGGGTAGCGCTGAGCCTGGCACTGTCGTGAAAAGGGACCTTTAAGCTGGACGGCTCATTCATATCTCTGCAGCTCCCTTAGCCAGGCACGGGGTCCAGCCAGGATGGAGCCTCCCCTGGGTCCCAGCAGGGTGTCCTGTGCTTCATTTGTGCTTTTTCCATGCCTTGATTGCCATTGTAGATAGGATGGCAGAGGAATCCGAAATCATCTTGCTAGCATGCCTGTCTTGGCAGTAGTAGTTTACGGGGGGGGGGGGGGGTCCCTTCTTTTTTTGCCCCAATTTCACTATCCACCATGAACCCCACTTCCTCCTTTCTTCTCTCCTCTCCTTCCCTTGCTCTCTATCTGCACTAAGTGTTTACTCAGGTCTACTACGTGCCAAGTACACAGGGTAAGGATTTGGTGATAAAACAAGTGGTGAATAAGATCTCTGCTACTCCGGGGTCCAGAAGAGACGGAGACCCTGCCTTAGTTACAGGGAAGGGACGGATTGCACAGAGTGCAGGGAGCTGTAGGTCGGACTTGTTCTGGTTAAGGTCAGCACATAGCAAAAACAGCAGCTTCCCAGTTCTCTTGGAGTCACAGATGGACAGACTATAGTTGAGGAGTGATTGGGTTCCAGCGCTTGATGGAGAGCTAGCCCCTGTCGGAAGTTACAGATGTTCCCAGATATGAATCCACTCCTGCTGTGCTGGACCTGTGGTCTCAACCCTGGGAGAGTCAAGGTTTAGCTGCAGCTGCTCATAGAAAGGGGTCCTTCCTTCCTTCCTTCCTTCCTTCCTTCCTTCCTTCCTTCCTTCCTTCCAATAGCTCCATCCCTTTGTAAATCAGAGGGATGGGTGCTACAGGTGAGCTTTGAGGTCACAAGAGGACCCATTTGAGAGGGAGCTAAGGAGGCTTTGGGAGAGGGTAGTAGATTGGTGGGGGGCTTCCTTGTTCCCCATGGGTGCCCCTCTGCTGTGTATTTTTGCTCCCTTAGAGCCATGGTGGATTACATGACCAACCAGCATGTGTATGAGCAAAGATGAATCCATTGGTAAATGTATTTTTCCCTTACTAGATTCCTGTTTTTAATGCCTTTTGATTTATTTGCTTCTTTGAGTGATCGTTCTGTGCCTTGGCCCTTGGCAGCTCTCTGCAGTTTGGATTTGCAGACTACATTGGCAGAAGGCTTTTGGAATGGACTGGGCCTGGGCAGGGAGACTAGCTGTCACTCTCTTTGTCTCATCCTGATTTATCCCTTGAGGAGCCCATTTGTCACACCACGTGCAATTGGAGATGCTTGGGCTGGAGGAGGGACATAGGAAGGATCTTGCTTCCGAGCAAGTGCATAACCACGGCACAGGCTGGAGTGTTGAGACCCCAAAGTGTGAGGCAGGACTGACCTCCAGATTGGCCATGGAATAGTGATTTTTTGAATCAGTACCCTGTAAACCAAGCTTGCCTTTCTTCTCTTTTCAAAGAACCCAGATTCCTACACCAAATGAATGGGTCCATGTTAAGCAGCGTCTGCTTTATGAAAAAAAACAAAAACAAAACAACAACAACAACAAAAAACTCTTGATCCCAGACCCTAGGCAGTTCAAACCTGATGTTTTTGTTGCCTGGAGAAGGGGTGTTTCTTCTAGAAATGAAAAACCTGACAGGGGGTATTTCGAAGCTTTGTTTTGGTGATTGTCAGTTCTGCCAACAAGTAACATCTGTATTTATTTTCCAAACTCCCCCAATGGCTGATTTGCATCTGTTTAGTTCTCTGAATAACATTTCATTTCCTGACTTTATAGGTTGCTATAAAATCCATTCGTAAGGACAAAATTAAGGATGAACAAGACATGGTTCACATCAGACGGGAGATTGAGATAATGTCATCCCTCAACCATCCTCATATCATCAGTATTTATGAAGGTCAGTGGTTTCTTCCTTTCTTTTTTTTTTTTTTTCCCACTCCTGTATCAGTTACCATTTCTCATACCATGGGGGCCGCCAAGACTTTTAGGTAATTGCCCTTCTGGGCCGGAGCCAAGTATTTCATGATGCAAAAATAGTCGGGTGTTATCTTTTATTTGGTTACCTTGAATGCAACCAGACATACGCAGGGCAGCTCATTTTGGTCATAAAACATCCCTGGCAGGCGCCTTTTTTCCATCTTCCCGGTTCTTTGGCTGTTGCTAGGCAACCCACCTTATTTGAAAACCGGTCTGTAAGACGGCCACGGTTTCTGAAAAATGGCAGTTTGCTGGGTGACCAGGAAAGGCGGACACGTCTGCACTGTCCTTCTCCAGAGCCGATGGTTTTGCTGGTGGCATGAAGAGTTTTTTCCCAAGTTGGGCTGTTGGAGTTACGAATGAACCTAGGGCCTGTCCAGGAAGCACCGGGGAAGAGGATCGGTGCCGCAGATGTTGCAGAAGTGGAGTCCAGATTGTGGTTGGTGTTTACACAAGAGCAGGCTCGGGGAGAGCCTGTAAAAAGCCCGTGCTTCAGTTCAACCCTGTGGTCCTTCCCGGGAAGAAATGGAAAGTCTAAACCTCCCACAGCCTGTCATTTTTTTTTTTTTTTTAATATCCGGTAAAGAAATTACACAAGCAACATGTGTTTATTACAGAAATGCTCAAAGGATAAATGTTAAAATTTTAAAAATAATTTTGTTCTGAACTCGCAAGTATAGGTAGTGTGCTACACGAGGGGCAAGTTTTTTCACGAACACTCCATTCTGACCCAATGAGTGGAGTTTGATTGTAATCCTTGCTACAAGTAAAATGTAAAAAAAAAAAAACAAACCCAAAATAATAATAATTACTATTAAAATAATAATAATAATAATAATTATTATTTTGTTCTAACTCGCAGTTTAGTAAATAACTCTGTGTCTACATTTTAAATCTGTTTTTCTGTATATCGACTGTATATGGTTTTTATCCAAAGTTAGATTATACTGTTTATACCATTTTTTAGCTTACCTTTTTTTCATTTGTTATAACACGTTTCTTCCTATGTCAATAAATATTCCCCGAAAGGACATTTTAAAAGGCTTTATAATATTCCATTTATGGACGTACCACAATTTATTGAATCTGATTCCTTTTGCCAACCATTTAAATTGTTCCAAATTTCTGACTGTTATGGACAGAGTTTTATTGTCCCTGCTGTGCATTATTTTCACTTTCACTTGTAATTATTTTCTTATGAAAAATTCCTAATCTTGAGCTTATTGAGTCAAAGTGTTTACCCAGAATATTTTTTATTTTGTGGTGGAGACAGAAAAAGAACGTATTTTTAATTTCTGGTTTGACGATAAGAAGTTATCAGGTAGGGCTAAAAACCAGATGGTAACCTTAAAATTTTTAGTTTTCCTTCATCTGGTTCCTTGATCTTTTTTGCCATTATTTTTTTCTGCTGTTTCTATTTTTGTTTTTTATCTAGAAGTCAATGTTGATAATATGTTTTATCCTGATCTTTCAAAAGCTCAGTTTTTTGGAGCCCTTGGGTGATAGCATTTTTAAGGGAGATTTTCATTCAATCATATTTTCATTCCACAAACATCTCTTGCAGCGATTCTCAAAGTGTGTTCTCTGGGCCAGCAGCATCAGCATCGCTTGAGATGACGAGAAATGCATATTCTCAGGCCTTACCTGAAACCTGCTGAAGGGGAAACAGTGGGGGGGTGGGACCAGGCAGTCTCTGCTTTAACAAAAGTTTGAGAACCATTGGTCTTTCGAGTGTCTACTTCCTGTTACGCTCCCTGTGGGTGAGGTTGCAGATTTAAAGATGAATTTGATATGGATCTCATACTCAAGAAGCAAGTTGACAAGGCAGGACAGAAAAAAGTATCATGTGACAAGTTTTGGTGGAGCTGTGTGGCATCTCTACTGGGTCCTGAAAGAGAGATTTTTGCTGAAGAATTTGCAAAAGTAGAATCCCATGCTGGTAAAGCCAACTGAGTAGCTTTGCCTGGGTAGCATATGCCTGGTGAATGAGTGCAGTTTCTAGAAGTTAGAAGTGAGTGGAGATGGAAAATGAGCTCGGGTACATACATTCTGAGGGTTTTTGCTCTGTGTGGCCTGGTTACCAGAGAAGCCTGGGGCCAGGGTGGGTCCTGCACTCTGTGAGCTCTGTGTGTTTTGAGACTTCTTGGCTTAACTCAGGAACCCCTGTATCAGGAGGGCAGAGGTAGCCTTCTTGCAGCGCGAAGCCTCCAGGTTCTTTGTTGGGGAGGCCGGCTGTGGTACTGGAGGCCGGCTATGGTACTCGAGGCCTGGCATGGGGAAGCCTGACTTCTGGAGCAGCCCTGTGCCCTCCTTGGGAACCAGACAGGATGAATGGAGAACAGGAAACCATCCCCCTGCTAAAGGGAAGGCCATAGAGGAACCTTAATAGAGGAACATTCTATTACCAAGGTTGGATTGGCCTCAGTCCAGCCCCTCTCCCTGCTGGAAACTTTGAGAAGCCCTTGCTTTATAACTTTATAAAGATGGGCTCCCGTGTGAATTGAAGTCATTTTGGTGACTTGAAATAATTTCTTTCGAGGCCTCAGGAAGGAGTGTGGGTCTGATTTTGTAAAACCCTTCAAGCAGGTTTTAGGGAATCAGAAGAGCTGGGGTTTGCACTTTGCTCGGGCTCGGGTTTCAGGTTCAGATCCTGCACCGTGGACCAGATGTAAGACCTTGGGCAAGATGGTGGGCCTCAGCAACCACCCCCATAAAATGGGAATGACCCCTCTATCCCTGTCACAGAGCTGTTGATAGCATTAAATAGCATGATACATACACTGCTAAGCTAAAGAAAGATCATCCTGAGGCCCTACGATCATCACATTTCAAGAGCTCAGTAGCCTCCTGTGACTAATGGCTACCATGTTGGACAGTGTAGATCTAGAACATTCCTTCACTGCAGAAAGTTCTTTGGACGGTGCTAGCATATGATGTTTTGTGTGTTATGTGCGTGGGTTCACCTTTTTCCTGGGCAGGAGGCACATAGCTTTTACCAGAGTCCTAAAGGGATTCCTGGTCTCAAACTGGTTAAAAAGAACTCATTGCTTTCAAGTCTTTCATGACCTGCAAGGACCATCCTAATAAAAGGTGTGTGGTTTTTTTTTTTTTTTTTTTGTCGTTGTTCAGAAAACTCCCAGGGATTTAAATGTTAGTTTCTTAGAGATTTCTGGTTTCTGTTCTGTTCCCTTTCCCTTCTCCCACGCAAGTTCTGTTTCTCCCACATCCACTAAATAATTGTGGAGGAGGGCAGCTCCCCTCCCTTCCCCGGGGGTTAGGAGCAGGCGATTGCCAAGGCTGCGTTCCAGCTGTCACACCTCTGCCTGTGACCCCACCACCCCCAGCCCCGTGACTTGAGCTGCTGTACTGCCTGGGTCCCAAGGTCGGCCCCGAGAGGAGAGCTGCTGCTCGGCCCGTCCTTGGCTGGTAGCTGTCTGCCTTCTCCTGTCTTCACAGCATCTCCCTCTTCTCAAGGACACTGGTAGATTGTCACAGACTGTGTGCTTGGGCCCCTGCCGAGGACCTCATTCTAACTGAATCATCCCTGTGAAGACTCTGCCTTCAAGCAGAGTCCCCTTCTGAGGACTGGAGGTCCTGAATACCGAGGTATTTGGAGGAGGGGACCCAGGTCAGCCCATCACACTGGGTGTCCCCGGCAGCCTGTTGCCTGACTCCCAGCCGACCTTGGCCTTGCCCTGCTGGCTCTGCCGCCAGTCCCTCCTGGCCTTTTCCGTCCTGCCTCATGGCCCTTTGTGCAGACCTGGGCGTGGCAGGGGCAAGGGTGGTAGCCACAGTGGTGCTGGGACCCGAGTCTGTGAGCTTGTGTGCTGGTCTCCCCGTCACTCACAGAGGTGAGGGAACCTTCACTCGGAGCCTGCTTGGTGACAGGTCCCTCAAGAGCCCGAGCTGAGCGCAGTAATGCATTAATTTGCTTAGTGGAAATCCATGCCAAGCACCTAAGTGGCTGTTTGAACATTAGCCAAGTGAATAGAAGCTATTAAAGAACTTTACAGTTTTTCTTCAGTAAGGACCTTTATAATTACACACACACACACACACACACACACACAGCAACGGCATGCCTAACCTTATAGTTAAGAACTGTGGGTTTTCATGAGGGAAAGGCAGTACCAACCAGTGATGTTAGAATATGAGCTCCAGAGAAGAAAGCCATCCATTATTCAAAAATGCCTACTGTGTGCCAGGCCCTAGTCTAGGCATTGGGGATATAAAGGCAAATAAAACAAATTCCCATCTTTCTTGGAGCTGATATTCAGGGAGGGGAGACGGAAAGTCATCGAGGTGAATGGATAAGGTGGTGAGGAGAGGTCTTTCCGACTGATTCTTGAGCCAAGTAAGTGATTTTTGAGCAACTGATGTTTGAGCTGAGTCCTGAAAGAAGCAGGGTCTAAGCCTTTGGGAGATCTGGTCCTTTCCCTCAAAGGGAATGGCATGGTGCAGATGCTCAGAGGAGGGAAGGAGATTGGGTTGGTAGAAAGGACACAGGATCTGTAAGGCGAGGCAGAGGGTGAGGAGGGGTGGAGGAGAGAGGAGGTTGGGGAGGGCCAGATCCTGACCACAGGAACTAAAGAAGTGTGGGTTTAACCCCAGGAATGATAGGAAGCTACGAGAAGGTTTTGAGAAGGAAGTGTCATTTTTAAAAATTGACACTTTAAAAACAATAATAATAATAGCGAAGAGCTATTGAGCGTTTACCCTGTGCTAGGAGGTGTGCATGTATTGTCACATTTAACATTTTTCTCTTTGAACTATTGACACTCCTGTCTTAGGGAAAGTTAGGCTTAAAGGCACATTCGTTTTCCAAAGTTACCAGTTAATACGTGGTGGATCGGATTGTTGAATCTGGGAAGTGATGGTCTGAAGCCTGTGCCCCTGATATTAACAGGGAACTTTGGTCTG